ACTAAACTTGAAAAACAACGGTTGACCTATGGGGCAAGGCGCAAGCTAATGTCCATTTTCCATCCCTTTCAATACTTTTGCCTATAAATTTGGGTTGTGCTATGGGCTCCTTGACAGCAGTGGTTTACAAACTGACGTGGTTATATTTAAAAAAGAAAACTAAAGCAATAAAGCAAAAATTTTAAAAACAAACTCCATTTCTCTATCTCTCACTTCTCCCCCATTTTCCCCAAAATCAACGAGAAGCCCTCATTTCCTTTACCTTTCTGTCAATTTTCCTCCGAAGCTCTACTCACTTTCGATCGACACCTCCAGCCCTGTCCTAACATAAATCAAAATGGCGCGGCATCCTATAAGCTACGACACCTTCGAGCCTTTCATCACATTCGCCCAAGCGGTTCAGTCTCATGTAAACTACGATAGGTTTTGGATTTTTGAAACAGCACTATGTTAGGTGTAAATCTCTTACTTTGATGTTAGTTTTAACTGTGAATTTGGAGATTTTCGGGTTTTTGATAGTAAGCATAGTGGGTATAATTTTCAGATTTTCGAACTTTGAATTTGGATGTTTCTCTATATGTATAAATAATTTAAATTGCTTGTTTGTGTAAATTAGTTTCTAGCTGCTTTAATGTATAACGGATAATAAAACAATTTGATTTCGGATTTTAGACTTGTAAATTCCGGTCCATGTTAGCTACCTTATTGTTGTACTTGTTTGTTTTTTTGTTGTGTAACCAGCAATCCTATTGGTGTATTTATTCATCGAAATATTGATCAGTTGAAGCCAACTTCGATCTTCTGTTGCCGTTCCCTGATGAGGTTAGACAACACTAATGAAGCCTAATTTATTCATTAGTTTCACGTAAATTGTGTATGTAAATTTCATATGAATTACCACTGCCTCATAGCTAAAATCACACTTTTCATTACAATCATATGGATCAACTTCAAAACACCTCAACACCTAAAACTGTATCACAACAAGCTAGACATTAAAGTCTTCACCAATTGTTCTTACAAAATTTCCAAGGAGCGGTATGAGAAAGAGCAACAAATACATGAACTAGAAAGTCATAAAGATTGCATAAATTGGAACATATGTAGTCTTACAATTGTTTACAACTCAAACTTTCCTCAAGTACATCAACTACAGGTACTATATTTTTTTATCATTCAGAGCATTCCATCGTTCATACCGAATTGTGGCACAATGTGTCGAGACTTGTTTTTTCCCCTCATAGGCCTATATCTCCTTAATGGTGGTATGAAAAAGCATGACCTAAAAGACACGAAAATTAATAAATGCACATGACATTGTGAATTTGAATTACTTAGTTTTAGTAATTGGCTTTACCTTGAGAATTGAATATAAAGTTCATTGACGACGAACAGATGGAAGTAAAAGACGGCAAGTGTTGTGTTAATGAATAACTTTCTTCGTTGCCCTATAATAAATAACATTGTCTTTAATGAAGTTAGTGAAAAGACAAACAAATGAACTGTAAACATACTAACCAATAAAGTGAATATGAGAATTGTGAACACGTGGAAGATAGTTCTTGTTGACATGCATCAACATCGAGGGCGCCCACTGGTATACTATTATGCATCGTTGTTGGTCTCTTTCCTTTGTATGTTGTAGAAGGTGCATGTATGTACATTCAAATGAAGAAGAATTATTTTTAGTGTTTCGTTTATGTTTATAGGAAAACAAACTAAAATACATTCTTGTTCTACGAAGTTGACTCCAACGAGCTCTTCCTTCGAAGTTTCTTAGGCGCGCCCTTTCTCTTCATTTATTTTAGATCCCATATGTTCCCGCTGCACGTACTTTATGAACCAATACCTTGAGAGACTAAATGCAAAGTATGGTATGAAGGAAAAATGCTTCCATTATTCGACTTTGTCACCATAAGATTTTTATGTTGAACTTGTATCCATTCCATTATCGCACAGGTCTAAGCTTCATCATTTGCCGCAATGTCTGCAACTTTGGAAAAAGCTTGACACATATCATTATACATCAACTATCCAAGAGTATCGACCAACCCATAATATTTTACTGCGATCCTCATGTACGGTCTATTGACATCTCTCATCCATCTACGCAGTATATACCTATCAAGCAATTGAGTGACGTCGTTACGGATCGATACTGCCATGCATGCCTGCAAGTTATTCCCCGAAATTCGAATAAGTGGCATCTACAAATAATTTCACCTTTCTCAATATTAAATGAAACGAAAAATGTTTTTTCTTCGTCGATCAGTACAAAGGACATCCTTATGTACCTCATACGTTGTCCTAAATAATCCCTAATAGAAATGAGCTCACAGTAAACTTTACCCCTGAACTCAGCTTGAACTTCCTTGAATATCGAAACTTTGTACACTTCATGAAATTGATTCTCCATTTTATATGTTGTAGTGCACGGAACCATTTGGGAGAATGACTTGAAATCAGCCCAGAACTCCTTATCTACGTTGTTCCTCATTGCTCGCTCATACTATTCCAAAAACTGTTTCAACGAGGTCTTCAAGTGTACACACCCATCGAAAAATGCATTAATACACTAGCTACACTGTGTTGTGCACATCCCAGTGCAAAGAGTTGTTTTTAAGAAGCATGGTACCCAAGAAGCTCTGTTCTCGTATAATCCCGATAACCAATCATTATCATACAAATCGTAAGTTTCAATCATCGATTCCCAACCTTGTTCAAATTCTTCAACCGTCTGTGAATCATAGACCAATACATGTATTTTTCGGGCAACTTCTTCAAAATGTGCTACAAACACCACCCATGCTTTATGTTCGGAAAAACTATCTAAATTGCATTTTGCATTGCCCTATCTTGATCGGTAATAATTTCGTACGAAGTACGACTGTGTATACACTTAAGACATGTCCTGAAAAGCCACACAAATATATTTGTATCCTCATTCGAGACCAAACTACAACCAAGTAATATTGATTGTTTGTGATGATTCACACCAACAAAAGAGAAGGACATGTCATATCTATTAGTTAAGTAAGTTGTATCAAATGTGACGACGTCCCTGAACTCTTTATATGCTTCCCTAGATCGATTATCTGCCCAAAATACATTCTTTATCATGAATCATTGTCCAAATCTATACAAAAGTAAA